TATATATATATATATGTAGATATTTGGATCTAATAGCACAAAATGGACTGAGACAGTCTACATAGGTTCATAGGAAATATTCAAGCATCTCTTAGCACAACAGGCTCTGTAGTTGCAGACTGAGCCCAGTGCAGCATCTGCTCTGTCATCTCAGGTGAGGCTCAAACATAATCCAGTATCTGACACCCCTTTCCCATCATCTCCCTAACCCAGGAGAGCACATAGTAAGATCTCTAAACGGTCATTTCTCTGCAGGCTTGAAGAGGGTAACACTCCCCAGCACCCCCTTGACTCCCACAACAGCAAAAAGTCCTACAGAAATTCCACAAATCCCTACTTTATTTTCCTACCTTTTTTGACCTGACTGAAAACACTAAGAACGAATGAGGGAAAGATTCTTGACCATCTCCTTTGTAGGTTTTGTACATGACTATCTAGCTTTGATGTTCCACCTTTATTTCCCTAATGCTCAGGTAAGAAACTTCTAACATCCCATTATACAGGTAAACAAATACATTAAGGAGAAGGTAATTTCAGATAGTAACAAACTCCATGAAGAAATGAGACATGGTGATGTGATGGAAAACAGCCCGGGGGAAGAAGAACTAATTTAGAATGTATAGTTAAGGAAGGTGTCTATCTCCCAGGAGATGGCTGTTTGAGCAGGAACCTGGATGCAAAGGCCAGTTCCCCCAAAATTGAGGGGGGGATAAAATATTTTGGGCAATTGGAAAGGCAGGTGCAGAAATCTGGGTGGCAACTGGTTTGGAATGGACTAGGATTAGTGGTAAGAGAGCGTGGAGAGCCTTAGAGAAGTTAGCCAGGCAGGGTCAGGTGGGGCCTTGGGAGTGGTGAGGGCTTTTTATTTTATGTGTATGAGTGTATTGCCTGCATGTATGTGAGTGCACCCATGTCATACAGTGCTGTGGAGGTCAGAAGAGGGCTTCAGATTCCCCTGGAACTAGAGTTAAGGATGGTTCGTTAGCCACCATGTGGGTGCTGGGAATCGAACCTGGGTCCTCTGTAGGAGCAGTCAATGCTGTTAACCACTGAGCCATCTCTCCAGCCCCCGGGCTTGGCCTTTTATTCTCATCGCAAAGGAATTCTGTAGTGGTGGAGAGTTTATGCTGGGACTGAGCTGATCTGATTTATATTTTATTTCTTTCCTTTTTCCATGGCAGGCAAGTCATGTTCTGATGTCATAAGAAGGTTTGAAAGAAGCCTATCTCTCACAGCAACATGAAAATTCAGTCATCACATTTATGAGCTACAAAAAAGAATCGTATTTTGAAAAGCAAAGGAGAAGAGAAGACTGTTACAGAATAAGAGCCTCGAGGGACATAACCAAGCACTATGTCCGTCTGTTTCCATCCTTATATAAACAAACCAGTAGTAAAAATAGAGCTTTGGGACAAACCCAGGAAATCTGAATGGGAGTCAGTATTATATGATATTATTATTTGTTTTGATAGGTGTGGTAATACTGTGATTTTTAGGCTAACGTCTATAGAAGTTTGAGACACAATGCAGGAGTGTTTGTGTGTGATGTGTTAAGATTTTCTTTTACATATTCCAGAAAAATTAAGTAATTGGAATTTTAGATTCTCTCTGAAATATATATTTTGTTTGAGAGAGGGTTTCCCTATAGCCCCAGCTGACCTGGAACTCACTATATAGACCAGGCTGGCCTTGATCTCACAGAGATCCATCTGGCTCTGCCTCTTGAGTGCTGGGATTAAAGGTGTATACCACCATGCCCAAAATATTTTTTCCAATTTGTTTTTATTTTTAATTATGTGTATATGTGTGTATCTGTGTGTGGGTATGTACACATGAGTGCGGATGCCCATGAAAACCAGAGGTGTCAGATCCCCCAGGAGCTGGAGTTACAGGTGGTTGTGAACCATCTGACATGGTTACTGGGAACTGAATTTGGATCCTGTGAAAGGAGGATCTTAACCACTGAGCCATCTCTCCAGCCCAAAACATATATCTATTCATTACTTTTTATTTTATGTATATGAATGTATTTATTGTCTACATTGTGTAAGTGTACCCGTGTTATGCAATGCCCACGGAGGTCAGAAGAGGGCTTTGGATCCCTTGCAACTGGAGTTATGGACAGTTGTTAGCTGCCATGTGGGTACTGGGAATCAAACATAGGTCCTCTGCAAGAGCAGTCAGTGCTTTTAACCACTGAGCCATCTCTCCAGCTCCCAAAACATATTTTAAAAATAAGTTACAACAACAAGAATCTGATTGTTATATGTAGAGAATGAATTACAGGGGTTCGATATTACAGAGGAAAACAAACCTCAAATTCAGTTTTGCCTTCGCCATGCTCACAATGCAGGTGCTTTTGGTGACTCAAAATGTGCAGGAATTTCTCCACACTGGGGAGCAGCAACCCTCTACAGTGGACACTAACTGGAGGTCCTCTAAATCAGTTCAATTCCAATGCTATTGGCCTAGTGATAGCAGCAGATCTCACAGATTGTGGGCTTATGCCTCCAGACTGTCCCCACCCAAGAGGCCAGCTGTAAGTCTGGGCCTCTGGAACTTTTCATTAATTGGCTATGAATTAGGGTTCTTATGCCCCCTTTTGGGGTTGGTTAATTTGCTTGAGAGGATCAAAGAACTCAGGGAAACATATGTAATACTTTAATGTTAAAAATATTTTTGAAAACACAAATAGGCAGCCAAAAGAAGAGACACATGGAATAAAGTCAGGAAGGGTTCTGAGCACTAGCTCTTGTCCTGGAGTTGGAATGTGCTGCCTTCCCAGCACCTAGATAACTTCTTGTTCACCTTCCTATGAGCCTCCATGTGTTCAGCCGCTGGGGAGTTCTCCAAAGCCTATCCTGTGGGGTTTTATGGAGAGTTCATTGCACAGGCAGAACTGAAGTATGGACACCAGTGTGGGAAGGTGACTAGACAGTAGAAGCTAAAACAGAGTTGGGAAACCCAGCCAGGCTGTCTGTGGAGAATCCACTTGGCTTCTCTGTGCAGCATGTTTCCACCCAAGAATTGAGGGCAGAACCCCTTCTGAAATGAGCCTCTTATAACCTATTAGAGAGTTTTTACATGGCCAGTCCCAAGGCAGAGAGGTGGTGATGGGAGATTAATTTCTGTGACTCATTTTGGGGAAGAGACATTCTAGTTTCTGTGGCTTGTCTTACAGGGAAAAAGGAATAGGCAGTTGAAAGAGACTGCTTTCTGGGCCACTTTGGAGGCCCCAAACTACCCTCTGTGTTGTTAAAAAAATGACTTTCTTTCACCTTATTGCTCTGAAGTGGCTCCAGCCACTAAGGACCAAATGCCAGTTATTACATGTCAACAGAACACATGCTATTGTTCTAGTCATTTAGGAAAATAACAAAGGTTATTATGGGAATTATGAGCCAAGATCTAGGATAGGAAACAAAAATGTATATATCATAATATCACAGGAGGACAAGAGTGTAGGCAGAGACCAGTTAGCAGCTCTTTATAGTAATCCAAGAGAGGAAATTAGGGATGACTTGGAGTAGTATGGATGGAGTTGGAGAGGACATAGTGAAGGCTTGGACAGACTGAACCGACAGAGCTTGCAGATTGATGTGATACAGCCCAGGCAGAACTAATGTGAACATGGCTTTGGGGAGAACATGGGGGCCCATTTTTCCATTCAAGGCTTGCATTCTCAATGTAATCTCCACCAGAACTGGCGAGGGGAGGGATAGGGAAGTAGGCTCTTCAGATTACTTATGTCTGAGATCAAATTATGTCCTAGGAACTGGGAATGGGCCGAGCTCACATGAGCAGTACAATTGTAGGGAGCTACCAAAGGCAAGGGGAACTAGAGAGACCTAGCTAGGAATCTGGAATAGCTGGGATTTCTGTACTTTTTTAAAAAAGAATATGTTATTTTTTATTTTTATGTGTATGAGTGTATTACCTATGTGTGTGTATGTGTACCCATGTTGTGCGATACCCTCAGAGGTCAGAAGAAGGCTTTGGATTCCCTGAAACTAGAGTTATGGACGATTGTTAGCCACCATGTGAGTGCTGGAAATCAAATCCCGGTCCTCTGCAAGAGTAGCCAGTGCTCTTAACCGCTGAGCCATCTCTCCAGCCCCAATTTCTGTACTTTTTCAAGGTAGATGTGTTAGTCAACTTTTTGCTACAAGGGGAAAATATCACAGATAATCAACTTAGATGGAAGAAAGATTGGTTGAGGGGTTTCAGTTCATGGTCACTTGATGGGTACAATACAATCAATGTAGTAGAAGAGGCTGTTCACCTCATGGCAGCCAGGAAGCAGAGACAGGAAGGCACTAGGTCCCAATATTGCCTTCATGAACATGCCCCACCATGACCTACATTCTTTTCAAGGCTTCACCTCCTAAGGGTTTTACCATGTTGGGGGCCATGCTTTTGGGGAATATTTGAAATCTAAGATATAACAGTATGGGGCAAGAAAGATGGCTTAGTGGTTAACAGCAGTTACTGCTCTTGCAGAGGACCTAGGTTTGGTTTCCAGAACCCACACTGGACAGTGCTAACTCCAGTACCAGGGGATCTAATGCCCTCTTCTGGTCCCTGTGGGCACTGCACGCATGTGATACACATACCAACAAGCAAGCACTTACACATACTCATAAATAAAACTAAATAAGAAAAATACATATATATCAGCAGATAACTGGAAGAAGTCACTTCCTATTAGAAATTGTAGTTCTCAACCTTCAGGTAAAAACTGTTGGTTTACTAATGCCTGGAATTAATTGTTTTTTTCTACACCAGGCTGTACCACAGTGTATTTCAGCAGTGGAGTTAAAAAACACAGGTCTTAAATTTACTCATGGTTAGATCAATTATGCAAATATGTGTTTAGCTATAGCACAACTATGTCAGCATTTAGGGAGCTTTAATTCAGACATAAGTACTAGACCCAGCAAAGGAACTCTTGCCTGTGTGAGATCTGCCTGCAGGCAACGTGATTTGTTGGTAAGCCATTTGCTTTTGGCATTGCTCTTTTCTGTTCCTTTCTATACAGCTGTAATATGAATGGAGGCATGCATCTGTCACTGTGCACCTGTCAGTGCCTTGGGTTTCTTGGGTATAACCTTATTTAATGTCTTTTTTTTTTTTGCCTGAGTTTTTTTTTTCCTGTATGTAAAGCATTTTTGTTACTAACATGCACTAAAACAATAATAAAAACAACAAAAATAATGGTGATCTTATCAATTATCAGGTGGGGAGGCTCTGAGTCATGCTGGGAACATGCTATCTGGGACATTGCTGTGTGAGATGGGCAGACCTTACCCCTCACAGGCAACCATTAACCACTTCTTAATCCATTCTGTATTTATTTGCTCATCCATCCTGACCCTTGAATTCCTCCCTCTGCTTAGCCTGCCTTGTCATGCTGTTCTCTAAAAAATCAGGTCACCCTGTACCCAACTTTCCCTCGGCCAATGATTTTTAGCTGCTTACTGAGCTTGCTGTGTTATATCTAATCCTTGTTCAGTCCAGCCATGTGTACTGCCATTAGGAGCATCATAAATCACCACTTAAGGACCATAATACCCACATTAATGGTTGGAACAAAAAGTCACCCCCTCCCTTGTGTCTAAGTGGCAGTTAGAAGCTCCTGGAGCAGGTTCTTCATTGTCTTCCTAACAACTTAAGAATCTCCTGAATCTGGATCTCAGATTTCACTACTCATAGTGTATCTTTCTTTAGAACATGCTTTCTTCTTTTTCTGCTACTGGGGATTGGCACCTGCTTTTTAGTCATGGGGTTTTCCCAACAGAAACCAATCGTAGCCATTTGATAACAGATAATGCATTTATATTTAAAGCACATTTTCTTATAGGTAAATAAGAGTGTCATTTCTGCAGTTTTTCTTGACATTGTGCCAGGGTTGGGAAGACTTTGTGTGGGAATGAGCCAAGGAGATACAAATGTGTCTTTCAAAAAAATAAAAGACCATGCACAGAAGCTAGTAGTCACTGGAGAGCTGAAGAACCTCCACGGAACAGGATATACATATACGCATGCAGGTGTGTGTATGCATTTTGTCTTTTTGGTTGTGAGCCCGAACCTTTAATGGCTGTGCCCGCTCTCTAGCCCATGTATGTATACATTTTATTCAACAATATTGAGTTGCATATGCATTAAGTATAATGATAAAAAGACATTCATCTGTGCATCTATCTTGCTTTAACTTTTTTTTTTCTTTTAATTTTATGAGTGTGAGTATTTAGCCTGCAGGTATGTAGGTACACCCATGCATG